TCTAAATAAATTACTAGAGATGGGTTTAAAAAAAAAAAAATAGGAAGTTTAATTTTAAATTCAATAATAGAAGCTAAAAATAAATAGTTGCAGAAGAAATAAATTAAAAAACTTGATATTCTAATTCCAATTCTGCTGTGGCTTCTACATGCAAATCGTTAATGATTTCAATTAAAATTCATTAACAAAGAAATAAAAAGCATCCCGAAAGTGTAATTAAAGGAAGGATTAATTAGTGCCAGCTGATAATGAATATATCGTATTCATTTAAGGGTATGATTTTGTGAGACAGTACTTATTGATGGTTGTGCAAATTAAAAGAGGCAAAAATAACTTATCAGTTTGATAAGTTATTTATCGAAAATAACTTGTTTGTCAATTTGGATAAGTATAAGTTATCAAATTGATAAGTTATTTTTGTTTACTTTTAAATCTTAAAACTTTTTCTTCGTTTAGGCGTTGCATAGCTAATTAAGTTGTAATATGTTTACCAGTGGATTCAAATTATCAGCTTAGACAACTTAGACGATGAGATCGATAATGAGTAATAAACAGAAATGGAAATTAAATAATTAACCAGAATGAATCAACTAAATCGATAGAATAAATTCAATTTCTTCCATATTCTTAAAAGTTTAAAAATTTTTTTGCTAATCAAATTCTCATTTTTCAAAGGGATACTTTAGGAACTAATTATTTGCTCGCTATCATTACATAAAATTATTCTAACATAGTTTGAAAAAGAAAAAAGATTTTTTAAAGTATTTATTCAACAACAAAATGAAACAAGCAGAGTTAATGATTACACGTATATAAAAGCATCACGTACTTTATGAAATCAAATTATAGCTGTTGACATTTGTACCTGAATAACTTTTTCCAAGAGGAATTTCATGAGAACATGGTAACCGATATTTTAACATTTATTAATTTCTCAATTCCATGATTTTTTTTTTCTAAAATGATTCTATACTTCCATGTCGCCATTATTCCAGGCATATTTCCTAGCAAAATCCCAATAGAGAAAGAAGTATAAATAGATTAAAATAATTTTATAAGATAATGTCGAAAACCCGAAATTATCTTGTAATACAAAAAATTTTTAATTTCATGAAGGTATTTGCAAAACTTTGTATATTCTAATTACTGCCCAAAAATTATCATTTGAAATATTTATGATTATGTTTACATAAAAGTTTATTCATTTAAGATTGTGATTTTTATGAATCATTACATCACTAATAACCATTTTTTCCATCATTATTCTCTTTAATTTCTGATGACTAATCAACTATAAAAAGCAGTTTCCTGCTAAAAAATCTCATTTCTGAATTTTCAACTCTCAATTTAATCTCATTTCAATTTTATTCCTAAACTTTGACTTATACTTGCCAGTTATATAAACGATTAAAAAAGTAATTCCAAATTTTTGATGTTACTACACTTACTATCTTCATTTAAACAAATCTTTTCTGAACTACTGCAACATTTATAAACTTTTACAAAAAAACTTTGATGAAATTTAAAATTTTTATATTATCAGATAATTTCGAGTTTCCGACATCATCTTACGAAAACAAAATATACCTAAACTATGCTCTCCCGAACCAACAAATCAACTATTATTGATAAATCAAGGAGTCTCATAACGTCTAAAAGTACCTCTTCAAAAGAAAATTAACCTTCATCAAATAATTCGGTTATGCCAAAACTAAGCTCTTCCAAAGAAAATAAAAGAAAAATGAAAATTCCAAACATATAGTACTTGGAACAAATTAAGTAATAAATGACTGATAAATGAATGTAAATGAATAAACAAGATATATAGGATGTATAAAATGTTAAATATAATAATAAACAAATTCGAACTATTCACACACACACACACACACACACATGGAAATATATGCATGATAATGTGACAAATAAAATTAAAGTTAAACTCAATATAGCTAAAATAAATGCATCCTCATAGTGTCATCATCTAAAGCAAATGATGTGATGAATAATGTCTTTCAATGATCTGATTAATTTATGAGATGTACACATATTTTTGCTCACCATTAACATGTAATGAAAACAATAAATGAACGATTTTGTCACGAATCGGATAAAAATCGTTCAAGAGTGAAGCATATTTTTGCTATCATAACGAAAGAACAATTTACTTGCATTTGAATGTTTAACAATAAATGAAATTGCTTTCAACAAAATGCAGCAGTTAAATTAAAAAGTGAAACGAGAAAAACGAGCCCATTACCATTTTAGAGAATAAGTTTGGTGGAAAGAGTTCTTCAGAATCTTCCCAAGAGAGAATATGTAAGGCGGTGTTTCTTAGAAGTTCTAAAATTAATTGTTTTAAAATTTTTAACAACTGCTCCATAAAATGAAGTATTACAATCTATGACATAATTAATGCGAATCCAAGTAAAGAACATTTTATAAATGGGTGTAAGATTTCCTCGCCTTTCCCGAATATGTTTCGTAACATCTTTCAGCTTTACTCAGCAAAACTTTAAATATTTTGAAAACCTTTACATTCATAATTAAAAGAAATTATTTAGCTAGGAAAAAATTATCTTTCATATTAACTTGAGTATGAGATAAAAACAATCTTATTGCTACATTATTGAAGAGTGTCATCATTCATTTCATTTGCCAACTTTTCAGTCGGTGAGTCGGGTTCATCTATATCAATTACAGTTCCATGCCACGACCACGAATTTAATAGATCATCCGTGCCATTTTTGACGCTTGTGATATGAATATTACGTGGTGCTGGTCTCTCCTCAATGATCTGATCAGCTGGTTTCAATAGCATCGGTACATTACTGCCATAAACAGCGAACCAAAGGTCAATATAATGACCACGTAAACGTGGTTCCTGAAATATCATGACATTTCAAGTCATTTATTAGTTATGGCCAGAGAGAATTTATTTCAAGGAGTTCGAATAAAATTTGGCTTAAAATTTTCTGATTCTTGCGAAATTAATTGAATTTGACGGGTACAAAAGAAAACTATAAAAACATGTGTATTTCCTATGCTTCGTTATAGTTGAATCATCCCTTTTCTTTACCAAAATAATTTATCGTTGGGAAACAAATCATTTAATCCTAATCAAAGTAGAATTTTGAATATTTATGGAATAACAGGTAGAAAAACCGTTCTAGTATCACTGATCTGAGCCCATAATTTGATAGCTATATCACGCGATAATGACTTCCATGTTGCGTCGTCTTCAGCACTGAAAGGATGATAAAAATATTTACTTTATTAAATGTTTCACTTTCCAAATAAATGTTTCAATAATACGCGCTCTTCAATATATCAACGTAAGATAAGAGTATGTAATTGAATTAGAAAAAGGAAAATTCAGAAAGTATGCGAAAATCAGAATTTTGTAAGAGTTTCGTCTGTAAATTTGACCTAAGTTTTTTATTAATGAAAAAGAATGAACCCTAAAATAATGCAAAGTGGTGGTTTAAGTGACAACTGAGATGCAACATAGTAGCGTACAACCGGCTCATTATCACTGATGCATAAATCAATTAATCTGTAGATAACTTCGCTAACGAAAGGTGATTTGTGTCGATAAACCATATCAACCAGAAATGTTAGCGCTGCAAGACGCATCTGAAAGCCTATCATTTTATTAAAGCACATTTTCGCTGAGTTTCATCATTGAAACTATCGTTAGCGGCCTTTAACAAACAAACAGTCATATAATTCAATTTTCTGAAATTTTCAAAAATATAGAACTTCTAAAATAATTATAAAAATTGACACTAATACAAAGAATATACATTTATCAATAGAAATCTTAAAAATTTTACCGGTACATAAATATTCGGCTGCGCAAAAGACCAAAATATTTTGGGATCAAGCGGTATGTGAAATGTTCGCTGCATCTGCAATAATCATATGTTATTTAATTATGAATAATAATCACATGAGTTGCGAATGGATTAAAATCAATTTTAGTTTTATGTGAAGTGAAATGTACTCCATGTATTCAGCATTTTTGCTAGGGATCCGATAAACACTAACGTGATATATAGCTTGAAGTGCAGCAATTCCAATAACACGACCAAAACTAGGTTTCAGTGTATCCATATTTAAGGCAAGTGTGAACTCAGACAACAATTCTTTCATATTGGTACTCAAAGAAAGAGGGCTCATATTTGTAATATCCCTACTCTCAGCTGGTACCAATGTAGCAGCTAATGAATTTATAAGTGATGCCCGATAATGGTCGTCCGAGTACCTGAAAAGATCGCTTGAAATAAAGAAGATTTCAAAGTTTCTCAATATTAAATTCTAAACATGAACTCCATTGACTGAAATGCTTCTTAATTTAAAAGTTATATATTTAAGTAAAGAATTCCTTCTTACCTGTTAACAGTATTATCATTATATTTGACTAAACCAATAAGAAAGTGATGAACTTCTGAAAGGGCACTATTTGAAGGAGAACGTAGTCGTGCTAAAGCTTGAGGTATTGCCTAAAAAACGAATCAGATAGCAAACATCGGGTAAACGAATTCAAAAACAGCAAAAACAGAATTGAAATTTAGTATTACCAGAAAACATGAGTACATTTCAAGATTTACTAATCTTTCCCTAGTTATCTGTTACTGTTGCATTTTACCTTACTTTGTTAATGGAGATGTGAAATTAGATTCTCATAATTTAATGCATGGATGCTAAAAGAGCAATGATTGTGTGATCTTCAGAGATGTCAATAAATTTTGGTGAGCATAAAGAAATAAAAGACAAACAATAGGGATGTATTGCACTTACATGCATCAAGAAATATTGCTGAAGATTTACAGAAGTGGCCACAAAATTGTTTGGTTTTGGAATATGTGGCGCAGATTTACAGCCAAAAAATTTCTTGAACAAAATCATCAGAGCCGGTGGGCCCAACCATGTTTCCGGTAATTTATTCACAACTTCTGCTAAAATATATGCGGCTCTGCATCGCACTCTAAAATTTTAAAAAGTTGATAAATGGCAAAAGCGCTTAATTGAGCTAGGTTTTCAAAATATGCAAAAAGTTCGAGAAATATAAAGTCACAAAACTTACCGATAAAAGAAAGCTTCGGTTTCAATAGTTTCAATAAGGATTGCTCTGGCATGTGGACTTGGAAAACGCTGTAAAATATCAAGTGCTTGAAGCTGTGCCAAGACGTCTCGTTCATATTTCAACATATATTCCCACTGATAAACCGGTTGTTGAATGCTAACTTTTCGTAGCAAAAGTAAATCAGGATCAATCCTGAAATAAAGAAATGATAAAAATTATAAGAATAAACATTGAAATGTAGTCCTTCATAGATTATTATTTTTTGCAAAACCTGATCCAAAGAACAGGAGAGTCAGGATCCATATTTGCCAAATCAATTTCAAGTTCTTCACCAGTCGAAAGTGGGATTTTCTTCTTTTTTTGCCTTCGTCCCTATAATGTGCAACTTTGATAGCACTAGTGATAAATAGGAAATCTAATTTTAAAAAAATCAAGATCAGAAACGGAGAAAAAAA